GTCCACACTCATTTCACATCTGCCAGTAGTGGCCTTCTCACAGGCCCTGCTGTCATCAATGAGCGTGTTCCAAGACAGCATCGCCGTCCCGTTATTGAGCTACTGCCTCGTGACATACCTGAAGCGACATAATCCAGCCTGTACGGCCACGACATGCGTCCGGGATAGTTGAATATCTGGGGCATCACTGTCAGGATGAGATGTATGGCCGTGTCGAGACGCGGGAAGTCAACCTCAAGGTTAGAGTTGGGTGTCGTTAGCCTTTTAGCTGAAGATGACTACGATACATTACAAAAAGAGTGACCTCAATTCACTCAAAGTATGCTTGACTACCTAGATTAAGTACTGTCTTCCCCTAGAAAAAATGTTGCCCTGGTTGATGGCTGAGGCCGGGCTTGGCACTGGTCTCCGCACGTGCGGCACGCCTCGACGCGTCGTTGGGGATTCGCGACTGATTGCATTCTGTGCCTGCGAGAACAGCCTCGATAACAATCAACAACAGGAACGATGGAGCCGATATAACGCAATTGAGTCTGGGCTCTTCCTAATTATACCCTGTTTTGATCGTCTTGTAAAGGGCAGGGCCTCTTCGAAGGCGTGAATTTATTCTTTTGCTTTCTTATCTTCAGTTCCTTGTTCCGGGTTGTCGTGTGCTTCGTGCTCCCTTGAAGTGCGTTGCAATGTATCTTCCTCGTCAACTCATATCGCACCTCTACCTACAACTCCTCCGATCACATCATCCGCTGTCTCCTCCCGTGCTAGTCCTCGTAGCACTAGAACCCGATGCCCTCTGCGCTTGTCGAATCCTGACCGCCCTCTTGAAGCGCGACTATATCCCCCACAAGATCCAACCGGTAGCCGGATATGGCGATCTCACACGCGCCGGCGAAGAGCTGGTCAAGCCCATGCAGACGCACAATGGGGGCAGTGGAGGCGTGGTCGTATGTCTAGGTGTGGGAGGCTTGGTGGATCTCAACGAGATACTCTGCCTGAGCAGTCCGGACGATGAGGTGGAGGATATGGGAGGGGTGGAGGTATGGGTCTTCGACTCGAGGCGACCATGGAATCTGAGCAATGTCTTTGGCGGGGAGGCAGCGGCGGCTTCGACGGATGGGAATGATGGCACTTCGCGGCGGAACACGCGCGGCGTCGACAAGGGCTGTATCACTCCGTCGTACAAATCGGGCGCGGGGGGTATCATCGTCTACGATGATGGAGATATTGAGGAGGAGATGAGCGAGGAGAGAGAGGCGTACTGCGCGCTGTTGGACATGCCGGAGGTAGACGAAGATGAAGAAGATATTGACGGATCCGGCAGCGAGGATGACGAAGAGCATCCGTCCAGCTCGGGGTCCAAGAAGAGGAAATCGTGGTCGGGACGCGAAGATGAGGATGAATCTGATGAGAACGACGGCCCCCCGCGTCAACGGCGGAGGAGTAATTCAGTATGTTTGCGGTCTGCCCCTCGTGTTTGCTCTTTGCTGTGATCTCTAACGTCCGCCGGCAGGGGTCCTCCATTGCTTCGTCTCCGAGCCGTCGGCCGAGGGACGAGCATAACTCCTCGAACTCTTCTCGCTCTGTGACACCGGGCTCAGATTCACCGTCACCCGCGCTGCCGAGGCAGCCGTCTGCACGGTCATTGAGGCGACGGCTGATTCGGCTCAAGAGGAAACATGAGAAAGTGTTACAAAAGTATTATTCCACCGGCACATCGTATTCCGAACCGATATCCTCGCTCGTGTATTCTCTCGCTTCCGAACTTGGTCGGGAAGATAACGACCTTCTGTGGTTGGCCATTGTCGGCGTCTCCAGCTTGGAACTCAGTGGTCGTACAATGTCTGGTGTCGGCATCTCCAGTCCATCAGAATCCGGAGGGTCTGCTGGCTGGGGTGGAGAACGGGGCGAGCGCGTTCGTCAAATATTACGAGACGAAGTTCATCGATTGAACCCGCCTGACCCGTACGAGCGAGACAGAGACATTAGAGGGGAGATCAACGGCGTCATTCCCACAACCGCCAAATCACCAACGGACAAGTCTATTCGGTTATCTCCAGAACCCCGTTTCATTTTGGTGCGACACTGGTCACTCTACGAAAGCATGCTACATAGTCCCTATCTGGCATCACGACTCCACGTTTGGACGGAGAATGGTCGGAAGCGATTACACAAGCTCCTTGCGAAGATGGGAATCAGCTTGAGCCAGTGTCATCAGAACTACACTCACATGGATATGGAACTGAAGCGAGTACTACGGCAACGGCTTCTCAAGTATGCACCAATGTACGGCCTGGAAGGACTCGTGCCGCCCGACGCATCTGGACATGTCTCCTCCCGCGAGGGGTGGGGCTTCGTGCGCTGCTGGGGCTGGAAAGCCTGTCTTTCCGCCACAGACGTGGGCGTCATTATCGGCGCGATTCTCGAGGTCGGGCCAGAGGAAGCTCCGGGCGCCACCTGGGACACAAAGCGCCAGTCGCGCCCCAAAGGCGCAAATGAGGGCAATGGCGTTGATGACTCCACCGAGTCTGATTTGTCTAGCCTTCTGCCGCGATTCTGGAGCGCATATGATGCTTTGTCGCTCACGTCAGAATCGCCCACCCTCCTTCTGAAGGCACTCCCGCTCGCTCAGCATCTTCACCGGGCCATTCTGCGTACCGGTACATCTCTACTATCGAAGCACCAAATCCGACACCTGCGAGCATTTCGCATTGCGGTTGTTAAGGATGGTCCGGATGTCAAACTGTTTACAAATCCCGGAGCTCTGACAAAATTGGCTCTTTGGATAGCCGAGGCCATCAGAGTACAAGAGCGCGAGCGAGGCGACAGCGTAAAGATTGGAAAGAAGCGAGCGGCAGGGACTCCCCTGGTACTGGCCGGACTTGACGAAGACCGAGGCCTGTATGTCGTTGTCGGTACTGGTGGCGGCGGAGGGGTGATTGATTACGCAGCGATGCACAAGCGTCAAGAAGAACGCCGTAAAAAAAAGGAAGCTAAGGAGAAGAAGCAAAAAGAGCGCGAGGAACGTCGAGCGCAGCGCGCAGCCGAGCGTGCTCAACGCGGAAACGACAATGACGACGAAGAAGAAGCCGAGGAGACGGAGGAGGAATCAGAGTCATCATCGGAATCGGAGTCGGAGTCTGAGGACGAGCTGGACATGCGCGGTAACAAGCACCTTTTGCGGAACCGATTCGGGATTGCCTTCCAGGAGGTGGTGCAGGAGACCAACACTCGAGTGCGCATCGACAGTTTCGAGCACTGTGTCGTAGAAGTCCAAAAGGAGGATCTGGGTGGTTTCCTGGAAGCTTTGAGCTTCCGCAGCGTCGTCGGTTAAAGTCCGAGACTCTCACCGTCCTGCCTTGCTCAAGTGAATCCTGTGGCTATTGTTGCCATTGCTCGATAATTTCCTCAAAGCTAATTCTGACGATTTATTCGCGATGCGTTCTCTCTTTCCTTTCTGGTTAGCTGGCTGCGTGGGATGAGGTCTCTGCTCTGGGGGTTGGGTGGAATCGCTGTTCATTTCAATGGGATAAAAGGAGGAATATGTGTTCATGACCAGTTGGAAATCTGTTTGTTTATTTTTCTTTTTTCTTCCCCCCATCGGTTACCAGCATTTTTGTCATTCGCCTTGTCCATTTCTACTCTCTTGACCATGGCCATCTTGCATATCCCCTGCACATGTCACGGCGTTGGCGGTGTTCCAGACTGGGCTTGGATTCCGTTTACACTTCCATTTTCTCATGATTGATTTATAGCTGTCAAGAGCAATGTCCATGGGCGATCTTGTCTGTTGAATAGCATGTGCGACATGTCCTGCATTCATTAATAGAGCCATTTTTACTTTGTTGTTGGGTGATAATACAGCGACACGAACCTCATTAGGGCGGAAACTTAGGTGGACGAACAAGTCAACACTAACGAACTGAGTTGAGCAGGCTTTTGGACGGAAAGTGCTGCCTCTCAATGACTTCTAAGCTACTGACTAAATTTCTGCTTTTGCATGAAAATATTGTTTTTTTCGGACTGTTGCTTGTCGATTTCAATGCACTGGGAACATTCTGTATCCCTGAAGTTGTGCCTAGTTCTATTAAGTCCGAATGGCGGTTATTACAAAGAAGAGGCTCCAGCATCCCAGCAGGTTGAAAGATTGGGAAATATCAAAGAGCTCCCCAGCGAGACAAGGCAGACGATTGTACCTACCATTCGACTCTAATAGTCCGTTTTGTGGGTGGAATTCAAATTGAGATATACTTCATTAAGGTCGACGGAGTAATCATCCCCATTGCCGTGTGAGACCAAGGGCAGCAACCTAACCAAACAACATCCCCTTTATTGCGAATAATCAGTCATTCTCCTGCTTGGCTCAAATGCTCAGCCAAAGGCTTTCAATATCCCGGTTACAGCAGAGCGAGACCCTTACCATGGAGAGGCCGTTCAATCTTGAGTCTCAATATCATCTGGGTGGGAAACATAACAGTCAGTACCTACTCCAAAGAAATCAGGGGGTACCATCTTTCTAAGCATGTTAGTCTATCAGGAATTCTGGAACCAGTGGTCCTGTTGCATTGCGGTCTGTGGGATTGAATCTCCATGACATGGTAATAGCCGAAGAGATTATGTACTGTGAGCATGTCCGAATTCCCATCAACCGTTAATTCCCCTATGCAGCATCTTCAGACGCTCTAACCAAGACATTCGCAGATAATGAGCGTATAGCTCCAGATTTGGTGGGCGACAGATTGCCCGGAAAACCCGTTCCGGTGGGACATTTCTAAGTCTCTCCGAGCACCGCTTTACGGGGGAATTGTTTCCAGATCGCCAAACGAGTTGATCTCCCGGTGTCCGAAGCCGGGAGCTGGCTGGATTCCACCTACTCCCTTGTTTCGAAGAAATTCAAAGACCTGTCGGCCTGTAGTTCGGGTGGACTGCGCAGAGCGAAGCATGATCCGAATTGAAACGGGCCCCTGAGGACCAGGCATACTGGCATACGCCGGTTCCAGAAAATCCTAGGCCCAGATGTCATTGGATGAGAAGAACAGAGGCGTTCGGATCCCCGCCTTCTCTTGACCCTTGTCAAGCTGGGCGAGGAAGTTCACCTGCACTGTTTCATTGGCGGCAACACTGAGCAATGTATCCACGTTCTGGAGGTGATAGTGGGCAAGTACCGGTGCGACTTTGAGAGCGACTGCGCCACTGGCTGACTCTTCTGTGTCATGAACATCAAAGCGAACCACTACGTTCCCATCCCAGACGTTGACATCTTTTACCAACTCGCGACCATCAAGGTCAAGGACGAGGTCCTTACGCAGTTGAGATGCGTTAAAAGCAAATTCTCTGTCAATGAGTCGCCAGGAGGTTGAAACATTGTTTTGCGGATCGTCATTAAGAAACAGGAGGGCTCGATCATACGCTTCCTTTGGAGTGGCGTATATGTTCGCGGATGCATGGTCAGAGCTCTCTTTCATCGGCATGGTCCTTCGAGGGGCGACATATTCCGGTGCTAGTAGTAAGTACCGAGAAGCGTCGCTGCAGGCAGCAAGCTCCTCATTGCTCAGAGGATATCCTTGGAGATCCTTGTTCGGACATCTTGCACAGGTGTCACCGATATTCGCCAGGAAAGTAGATCCCCAGGAGGGCGACCAGATTGCTTTATCCGAGACATCTGTATCCCCCTGCAAGATCCATGACCCCATCTCAGTTTGTGTCTGCGCGGATATCGGGACTGAGAGCAGCTCGTGCGAAAGCTCTACTGCCTGAAGGTAGCAAGCCCTAAAAGGCATTGCACACTGAAGAAAGGTCGCATCAGTGGTCTCATGGTTGATCGCGGAACGAATATACTGGAACCATGAGTTTGACCATCTTCGTGCAGTGGCACCCTTGTACGCTTATGTAGTTTTCGTCCTCAGCGTCAATCAGTCACTCCACGGAGTTTCCTTATAGCAAGATCATGTTTCGAGACATACCTCTTGTACAATTGCGTATAATATATCCGCTAGCACCACAAACAGCTAGATTTCTGGCCAGGCCCTAAGTAAGGCCCACTTTCTTACTACCCTGTCGATCATCTTACTTCCTGAACCAAAGAACCGGCCTGTCAGATTTTTGCATTGCAACGTGAGATGGATACCTCCGTATTTTCATTTACGAAGTTTATCTATGTTCATGTGTAGGCAGCAGCAATACGACCCATGTATGTTCTATTTTTTTTCGTTGAGAAGACATAAAAAGTTAACCGTCTTTTTGTCCTGTAATTCAGCAAAATAGACCACTTATGTGCATGTAAGAACCCAAGGCTTGTTTAATGGCTTCAAATAGAAGGAGGGGAAGGGGAGCCTACATCCCTTCTACTTTCATGACTCTATTACAAACAATCGATGCAACCTCTATATGAATATGGCTTCCTACCGCGAACCTCAGTTCGGCGCAGGGCCTCGGTGTCACCTACACACCTCGGTCCTTCCTCAACACGCGTTATTCCGTCGGATGAGAGTCTGAAAACTTGCAATGTAAGTCCCATTCAATTCACCACTGGTCTGGATTTACTTGCGTGTCCCAGCTTGTACGAGCATCTTCTGTTTGCAACGTAGGCTAATAACCCCGGAAGGCATGCTTTGCACCGCTAATCTTTCTCGACTTGGTCTCTGAATTCTCGCTCGTACCTTGGTTATTCTGTGCGTTTGGGTTGACCATCTTGCTTTTACATGAGGTCTAGAAGGATAGTCAGAGGTATGACCGTCTGACTACATGACTGTTATATTATTCTGGAGGCGTTATCAGTTTTAGATGATATATAATGGCCTTGATGAAGACGCAACTGGTACAAGTATATGCGAGTTGGAAAGTGAATTCAATGCAAAATAAGACTGTCTGATTTTCGGTAAGATGCCAGTGGGCCTCACTAGTACATTCATGGTCCTTGGAGGATGGCGAGGAGATCTATTCCCAGTGATCTTTCGGCCCAGGGGCTGTAACATCAGAATTTTGTCATTCTATTAATTCCGCTACTATGGCTGTTGAGAACACTTGTATACGGCAGGATATTGTCATGGGTTTTCATGGGTTTTTGATCGTAGAGATCAGACACAGACAGTATCGGAATCCTCGCCAGACATGACGGAAACATCTCTATCATTCTTCTCTTGCTACGTCATGAGATTGGCCATATGACCAGCTTTTTCCGTGCTTCGCTGGGAGTCCATATTCTCCAAGTCCGGTGGTGATTGAGGTGTTTCGCTTCTGAGACTGTTGGACATGTTTATCTCGTACTTCAGCTTACTGATTTCGCTTCTGCAGCTATGCTGAAACCTGATATTTGTATGCTACTGGTCAGCGCTATATACCACGATCACACTTCTAATCCTTATTCTGTACTACAGGGGTTACTATAACCTTGTTCGAGGACCCACATCGGCCAAACAATACTGTCTATGCCCAGAAACGCATTTTCGGCGTTTACCCTTAGATGATCTAGAGAGGTACTCCGCAGTAACTCGAAGTTAGCACCAGTCAGAAATTATCAACTTTTCGAAACTCGGACAGTCTTCATAGTACAGCGTACCGTAGTGTTACAAATCCCAGAAACCTCGTATGAGCAGTGGATCCCTTGGCTGAGCCCACCGTTGTCTCCTTGTACGAGTCCACCTGCGACGCTCGCGCCATAACTTCATGTCCTTTCAGTATTTCATCTGTTAAGGTAATATTCTCAATCGAAATGAATGGTTGAGTGGTTAGGAGGTTATTGATTGAATTGAACAGTCTAGTCCCTCCGACGGGTCGGACGGATATTGCTATCCTCAAGGCACCGAAGATGGGATATAGATATAATCCCCGGGCCCGTTTAATAAATAAGAGCAGACACTCTGCCTCTTTGTACGAGGTAGATCAGAGCAGCGATCTTGCACAAGTTCAGAATGAAGGATAGACCGTAAGGGAGACGCAATCCCGAACAAGATATCATTCTCATACAAGCTCTGCTGTTCATCAAAGATCAACAATGCAAACCTATTTCTGCTACCAACTCAGTATTCGCTACAAGTACATTGCAAATTGCTGACTCCATTTCAGGTGAATCAGTTCTCCAGGTATGGGGTCAGTGATGATTTCGGTCATTTGCGAAGTGTTTTGGGAGCTTCGGCAATCGCTCCGACTCAACAACGGAGTTTCCCCGCATATCAAATGCCCCCGCGATATGGTCCATTGCTCGGGGTGCCTCCGTATGGGAGTGAGTATTTGAGACCACCGAGACGCTCAATCCCTTTATTCATATGATTGTCTCCTTTTATATGCCATGACCAAATAGACCGCCATGTCCTTCCCAAAAGAATATCCTGCGCTGCCTCGCGAAAGTACCTTGTCGCAGCTTCCGCCCGAATACCCCGCAGACGCCCAGGAACAGATCGTCCAGCTCCTGTCCACGTCTTCACTGAATCGCTTGGTTGTGCTAGATGACGACCCTACAGGCACCCAAACTTGTCACGATATCCCTGTGCTCACCGTCTGGGACGTCCCGACGCTGATTAAGGAATTTCAGCAAGATTCCCCGGGGTTTTTTATTCTCACCAACTCGCGCGCTCTTCCCCCACTTGAAGCGGAGAAGCTCATCCGCGACATCTGCGAAAATGTCTCGCAGGCAGCCCGATCCACATCTCAGACTGTCGACATCGTTCTTCGAGGCGACAGTACATTACGCGGCCACTTTCCACTGGAAGCAGACGTCGCGCAGTCCGTCTTCGGTCCCGCAGATGCATGGGTGCTAGCCCCCTTCTTCTTCCAGGGCGGGCGGTTCACCATTAACGATGTACACTATGTAGCCGAGGGGGAGAATCTGGTGCCTGCGGGGTTAACACAGTTCGCCAAGGACGCGACTTTTGGGTACAAAAGCTCGAACCTGAGGGACTATGTCATGGAGAAGGCGCCTGGGCGGTTCGCCCCCGAGCAACTGCACTCGATCACAATCGAGGATATCCGAACGGGCGGGCCCCAGGCCGTATATGAGAAGCTCATGAGTTTCCCCAAGGAAGGCGTCATCATCGTCAATGCCGCAGCGGAGTCGGACATGCACGTTTTCGTCGCCGGCTTGCTCCTGGGTACGTTTTCGAACCCTTTGCGTACTTCGTCCAATGCTAAAAGTGAAACCGAGTAAAAAACAGCCGAAGCCAAAGGAAAACACTTCCTCTACCGTACCGGCGCAGCCTTCGTCTCCTCCCGCCTCGGAATCCGCTCCATCCCACCCATCACAGCCCAACAACTGGACCTCCCCTCCCCACGCACAACAGGCGGCCTCATCCTCGCAGGCTCCTACGTCCCCAAGACAACCGCCCAGCTCAAGGTCCTGACCAACACCCGTGGCGCAAGCGGCACCCTCGCCATCATCGAAATGGATGTAGCGGATCTCATTGCATCCCCCGATAGCGCGGAGAGCGTAATCCGCCGAGTCGTCCACGAGACAGAGACGCACCTGCAATCCGGCATGGATACGCTGGTCATGACGAGTCGGAAGCTGATAACGGGTCAGGATGAGCTCTCCTCGCTGGCTATCGGGGCGAAGGTCGCCGAGGCGCTGGTCCGGGTTCTGCAGGAGATCCAGGTCCGGCCGAGATATATCATTGCAAAGGTAAGGAATCGTGCATCGCAAAGGAAGAATTACTCAGCTGATAAATTGGTTTGTTGCTGTCAGGGCGGGATCACCTCTTCCGACGCCGCTACCAAGGGGCTTAATATCAAGCGGGCCATGATTGGCGGCCAAGCTGCGCCTGGCGTGCCACTCTGGCGATGCGATGAGCCGACGTCCAGACATCAGGGTGTCCCGTTTGTTGTGTTCCCCGGCAATGTGGGTGGGGAGTCAACGCTGTGTGAGCTGGTGGAAGCATGGAGCTAAGGATAGACGTCGTCTGTATGTATAGTTCTACAATGATCTGAATGCACATATATCCAAAGGAAGAGTCTACGGCGGGAAAACTTGATTTACAGATTGGGAATTGGATACTGGACTATGTGGCCCGTAGGCCACGCGGAATGTGTACCTTCATTAACTAACCTAACTGGCACTTGGACCAGATAATAACTGCGTAATGGGATACGGCAATATGTACAGCCACATACCATCTTTGCGTCAGACAGGAACCTCCACCATACCAGTATCAGTCAAACGCCGTGGGGGTAAAAAAAATAGCCCGCCCATACTTAGTAATGCAGATCTGCGCCATATATTTTGATGGCTCCAAGAGTGCCCTCTCGCAAGATTGCTGCAAAAAGCGACATAGAACCAAGAAATGTTCGTTGTGTAGGATGAGGAACAAGAGAGGGATGAAGGCGGGAGAAACAAGACGACCAACCTTGTTATCTGACCTCGATGCCGTTGTTCGTCGAGGTTAAGTCCAAGACGTTAATCAAGCGCGAACTGCAAAGGCAGAGTCAGCTGGAGTTAGTTGTTCACCAACACATGATCATTGTTCGTTGGGCTTCAACTTCCATCAGTGGTTTGGATGTCGTAAGTGTATCGTTTCAATGAGAACATAATGGGGACCAGCCCCAACACGACGAGTAGTTCGGCCTCAGGTGAGGGATCTTCACGCAGGTGTTGGCGTACCCGAGACTCCGTTGGAGGTGACCTGCCGCTTTGCAGCTGGAAGCGATGTGTCCTAGAAAGTAATTGAAATTAGTCAATCCAATGCCGGAACACTAAGAGCATCAACCGAAATGCGAAATATCCGCTTTCATCTGGTGACTCGTTTCCCGCTGGTTATCTTGTTTGACTCTCTTGCATGCACTTACGTCCAAAGAATCGATACTTCGCTTTTGAGCGCCTGCTTCGGCCTTCTTGATGATCTTCTTCTTGGGGCGTGTGGGACGAGTTTCTCCCGGCTGGAAGACATCGTCGGGAAGATCAAAGCTAGTCCACAAGTCAAAAAATACCCAACGAGGAGATCGAATTAAGAACAAACTTACTTGCGAACGTGAGTGATGGAGAGGTCATTGATGCCGGGTTGGTATCCTGCCCATGAAGTACATGTAGATTTAAAAATCTGGGCATCCGTAGAGATGTCCAGCGAACGGGAAGCGCCTTTTACCGTCAGCTAGCTCTCGGGAAGTCAAGCGCCATACATACCTGGCTCCAATGGCTTCAACTCCAAGCCGATGTAATATGTCGTGGTGTAAATGATATGGCTATCACCATTTGCGCTCTTCTCACCGACAGGCTCCACCTCGGCATTCTCAACTCCGCTGAGAGCTGCGGCTTCGTGTACAGCATCATTCCTTTCATCAGTGGTTTCCGTCTTCGTACCTTTATCCTGATACTTGGTAGAACCGTTCTTTACGGCTTCTGCTTCTTCTTCATTGGAGACGATATGCACTCTCTCGAAGCCTTTTGGAAATGGGTGAGCCACTGCGATGGTAGGCTTGCGATCCAAAGCTCCGACGAGGTGTCTGATCTTGGATTCGACAAGACCAGACCACACCGATTCCGCTTCCTTAGTTCTGCTTGAGGCAGTGATGCTAAGATAGTATTTGTAATCCTGTGTGAAGAATGAGTGCCGTGCAAAGAGATCATTCCAAGTCAATTGCTTCAAGAAAATCTTGTCCACAATATCACCTCCCCGTTGGAGCTCGCGAAGGATAACCGCCTTTGTGGACATTGAGATGTTGTGCGTCGCACACATCGATGGATATGCGGGGGTGATGATAGGCATAAGGTGGAACCGGTCGCCATGGTAAATCTATCATCGGTGTCAATATCGCGAAGGATGCGGCGCAGCGTCCTTGGTTGCCCTTACCTTGGGATTCCAGACTTTTATCTGGAGAGGTCCGTCCTCGATTGGCTTTAGCAAGACAGGCTGGGGCCATGCCCACTTGTTCATAATGCGGAAAAACTTGCCGACGATCACAGACCCGGTTGCATGTGGGTATAACTGACAGACTCGTGCTACTAGCATAGCCCAAGCGACACCACCCGGGAAACCTACAATATTGGAGTAAATGGCCCGGCCTGTAACTTGGTGTCAGCATGGTTGCCAGGAGATGATGAGAAGAGAGACAGATGGGATGTCCTTACGCTGAGCCCAGAGCTTGATTGCGCGTAGAGCAAGACGAAACGTCTTCTGCTGGGGCACCAGTTCTAAAATCTCATCTGTGACTCGAGTTCCGTTCAGCGACCGCACCTCCTTCTCGTCAAGCCCCCTGAGGTAATCGTTATTCTTCAAGTCGAGATTGAGAGGGACCGACGACACGATCAAACGGGCGAAAATAAGATCGATACTGATACCGGACAACTCCAGCTTGATAATCGGGACGAAGGCATCGGGAACTGGTGTCATCTTTTCAATGGCCCCGGGGGGAGCCATCTTCTCGAGCACCGGGGGGAAGTCTGAGAAGAAATCATCAATGAGGACATGCTTGGGGCCGACCACGAGTGTATCAATATCCGAGCCTATCGCATAGTCAATATCACAACCACTGTCATTAAACACTTCCACGCTACTGACCGGGACCATAGACACCCAGGCGATAACTTCCATAAGTGAAAATCTTTCCACCTGCTGCCTCGACTGCTGCAGGGGACAGCCCCTTCTTTCGGCTGACGACCTTGACAAACTCGTGGGTTACGCGTTGAATGAGCTGGAGAACTTGTTTCCTACGCGATGACAGACATGGTGTCAGCGCGAACATAAACAAGCAGAAACGTAGCTAAGTTGATCTCACCTCCGCTCTGTCTCCGCGGGACTTTCAAAGTTGTTCTGGGCCTTGAGCTCCGTGATCAAATCATCGTTGGCGGCGAGTTCATCGGGGGTTGGCAGAGCTGTTGAGATAGGAGGAGTAACTCCCCACTGACGAACTGGTGGTGTTGACATCTTGTTATCTAGCTGGTGTTGACCAAAATCATGCGGTTGCGCCGTGTAGGCGTCAGCGGGAAGCCGCTAGATAAAGAGCAAGAGGATTCGCTAGAGAACGAAGCAAAAGGGAAGATACACAACGACACAGAAGCAAAGTAAATTAAGAAAGGAGTAGAAGAGGACTTGTAGAGGAAGGAAAGACAAAGGAAGGACTGAATTGATGAAAACGACTACAGGGCATCGAATTGACCCAGTGAATAGGTGCAATGAAGATGAGGAGTTCCAGATTATTCACGATTGTATGCTGACTTATCAGACTGATATCACATGATGTTCACCATTGCCACAGTATTTAAAATCACGTGATATTATTGTACTCGAATTGAACAATGAGCAATAATGTACTAATCAAACCGCAAGATAATGAGAGCCTACTTGAGTTGATATCCGCCACTATATCAACTCGGAATCTACAGGAAGTCTGCCAGTTGCTCGTCCAGCCACTTCACATCATCTTTACTGTCTCCAGGACCACCAGCCCAGTCTGCGTTTCGAGGATCGTCAGGAGTGTCTCGCCAATAGTCAGGTTGGGATTAACTTACGACCCCAGATAGAAGGAATCACGCGAAGAGTTCCAATGCCAGATTGCATGCAGGAGACTTCATATTCGGAGTCCTCGGGACTGCGCAGTGACATTAAGCATTAGACGCCAAGGCTCGAAGCATCACTTACGGGAAATATAGGTCAGTTTTTCCTGGCATCACCAGGGTCTTGGCCTTGATTGAGGCGATAGCCTTCTCAAAATTACCATTGTATGGTTCCTGCTGGGACACATCTCCATTCTGCCAGGTCTGAAGCATCACCAACAGATTATCCGGGTCTTATCCGACAGGGTCAATCATCAACGGAGCCAGATCAGGACATGTTCAGTTTCTACAGACGGCTTACCTTTGGATAAAGCCCACTTCTCCCAGAAATTTTGCATAAAGTCCTCCAGGTCCTTGTAGCCAAGAGCTGTCTCGTACAACTTCTCCCGGTAGAAGGCCTGGCTGAAACCCCTATCCAGACATGATAAATGAGCTTTGAGCCGTTCAATATTATAATGGTCTGTTCGGACACATGCTTACCAGCCAGCATACACTCTAGCAAAAGCTTTCAAACCAATCTCTCTGTCTTCGGCACTCCACGTCCCCAAACTCTGATCGGCCTTTAGAAGGCCAATCTTTCCCGAACCCGCCGATGGGACGCGCTTCGCTGCAAGCAAGGCGCTCTTGACGCCTTCCAAAAACACCTGGTTATGCAGCGATGTCGTTGCCGACCCGCAAAAAGGAATTGCGACGTCCATGAACTCGGGATACTGAGTCGCCCATTGATAGGTCTGTGCTGCTCCCATTGACCAGCCGATCACTGCACGTAGATGCTGGATTCCAAAGTGCTCTGTGACAAGCTTGTGCTGAGCGCGAACATTGTCGTAGAATGAGCATTTCGGAAATGGCCGTAGATGCGGCTGGTTGGATGGAGACGAGGACTGGCCGTTTCCGAAGAGCGCAGGTATGATGATGAAGTACTTCTTCGGAGTCAGGACTTTATCGTCTCCTATAAGCCAGAAGTTGTCGGATATCACTTGGTGAAGGTCAGTATAACAGACATTGGCGTTTTACTCTGTCGTTCTCTACGTACTCCCGGAAAACCATGTGGGGTAGACAATTGCGGGGGAGGTCGGGTCTCCAAAAGTCTTGTATGCAAGATGCGCATCGAGTATTTTCTGCCCGCTCTGGAGTTCCCAGTCTCCCAGCTTAAAGATCTCGTAATCTTGGTCGACAGTCATGTTGGTCGCCAAGTTGAAGAGGGCAGACCCGGAAAAAGACTGAAAGTTTGGCTGATAAATGTCACGACTGATAGCAGCGCCTTCGAGGTTTGAGTAGTTCAAAGTTCAGTGATGAGGAGCGATTCATCTACATATTTATAGTCCCGTCAATGATATTGAGGACTTAATTGGTGACACATTGCAGTGTCATGAGGCACAGGTTTGTTTGGATTGGTAACACCGACGGTATCCCATGTTGCGATTTATAATAAGATCAGGGCACCTTGTCGACAAGAAAGTATGCCTATCTAATCAATGCACTCTATTACGTAGCGGATACGATGACCACCAAGGACGTTCTATCAGCTCAAATAGTGGCCTACTGTTTTGCTTCACTATTGAGATGTTGAGGCAACTACCTATCTTCCATGGTCTAGTCTCTGAGCTTCTCTTTTCGGGCTGACCCAGCAAGAAGAGACAGCTCCCCACTTGGGGTGGCCTCGGCTATCTGAGCAGATGAAATCGGCCCGACTGATCGGTAGTGACGGCATATTTCCACGCCCTTTTCAAGCGAATTATGATGATTAAGGGAGTGGAAATTAGGATATTATAATATATTTTCTCCGTGGAGTTAGTGCTAGTCCGACACTGGACAAATAAATGTCGAGGAGCCTGCCCTGATCAACAGATAGCACTTGTGTACTCTTGAAGGACTCCTTGCATTAGTTTTAATGAATTGTACAACCTTGTATCAGGTCTTGCGAATTCAAAGATCATTACATACACAGTTGTACGTTTTCCGACCACTGATTGCCCACTGAGGGGATGTCTTTTCCGGAAAGAGTCTCAGCAGCAAGTGTGTTAAAAGAGCGAAGAGCGTGCGACTTGCTAACAACTCATGCAGAGGGTCTCGAGTGCAATTGTATCCTCCCTGGGTGATTCATATATCCCGTTATTATCGATCTTTTCATCAATCCGCTACGATGTTCAAAGTCGGCGACGATTTCGACAAGATTCAGGCTTCCCGACCTGACTTCAGGCGTGATGCGCCGGTCACTTTCTCCAAGCCCCCGAATCCAAACTGGAGACAAGGCGATGGTGCCAATGACGGTGGAGAGAGTCTGAAGAAGAATCACGTTGAGATCGACCCATACGAAGAAGGACGACCAGTATCATCAAACTATAAGCTCCTAATCTCGGGAATTGTCCCGAGACCCATTGCGCTTATGAGCACCAGATCCAAAGACGGAAAGACGACGAACTTAGCACCGTTCAGTTATGCTCAAGTCATCAATCACGATCCTCCTCTTTTCACTGTGGGAATCGTTGGCTCGCTTGAGAAGGCCAAGGACTCGTTGAAGAATATGGTCGAGACGGGTGAATGTGTGATTAATATCATCTCTGAGCATTTTGTCGAGGCAGCCAATGCGACCGCTATAAATGCACCGTACGGGGTCTCCGAGTGGGAAATTTCCGGGCTGCACCAAGCACCTTGCTCTGTCGTCCAAGCGGCCCGGGTCAAGGAGTCAATGTTCTCAATTGAAGGCAAGCTCGTCGAGACTAAGGAGTTCCAGAGCAGGACGACGGGTAACACAACGGGCACTCTGGCTATTATTGAAGGTGTTCGTTTCTGGGTGAGGGATGACGCTATCAATGAGGACAAGAGCATCATCGACCTCAAGGTCCTGAAACCCATCAGTCGGCTCGGAGGTATTTCGTATGGGCGTACCACTGATGCCATCGAAATTCCGAGACCAAACTTCTAGATGACTGAAGAGCACTTAAGCGGGATGAAGGTGATCTTCTGTTGGTTCGCGGATAGAGCCCATAAGATATAGACATGGTTATCGCATCCTAGAATTCTTCATTCAGACACAAGTCGAGCCCTTCTTCTCATAACCCGTTCCCTTCGGTGTCCCGTTTATAGATAGGCGCGTAAATTTGGCATGTCGCTGATCTGGGCCTTATTCTAGGCCTTATTCCCAGTGCTTAATCTCAGGCTCAATTCTGAATACTGAGAACACATGTGGAGATTCACAGGCCATAGAAGTTTGCGTCTCAAATATGGTCAAAGCTCGGACCAGCAACATGCCATTGTACTGATTTAGATGGCTCGGTTCACACCACGGTATGTGGGGAATAGAGATTGGTGACGCCTCCACCAGCTTCGAGGCTGTTAAGTAGGCTCGTTCCGTTGTCCGATTGTGGAACTCGGACTCACTCCGTTTCTGAGTCCATTGAGCCATGGGTGGCCTTCTTCAGTGTGGTTCACTCAGGGACTATCTACTAGTAATCCTGTCAATCCATTATTTCCCCATCCTCCGGCTAAATTCTTCTTCTCCAGATGAAGAAAGAATTCTCCCCGACGGCTGGCCCCTGCAGGAACATAACCTCAACATGGAGATCATGCAACAGGCACAGTTCTCGATCCTTATTATTAGTAGTTTCTAAACAGCATATAAAAAACCGACGAACCATTTACCTGTTGGACCCACAGAATAGAGGAACGGGGGATCAACAGAGTTGCGGAAATAAGAAAGTATTCGGTTCATTGTTCAGATCGATAGTAGCTGTATGCTGTGCCCAGTTTGGATAGATCAATACATCTTTGACCCACGGGACAAGGAGATGTAGCATCCAGAACTACGGGGAGGGTCACATGGTGGTTCCTACTTTTTTGGGGGGCCCCGGCCAGGGCGCGGAATACGGAGAACACCTTACCTACCTTACCTATCCATGTTTTCTTGCTTCTGTCCATCGATACGTATCTGCTCTCTGCCTAATCTCGTCTACCTGTAACATTTACCTTTGATACCATTCGAGTTTTGTCACCCTGTTATTTTACGTCGGAGTGATCAAAGCATTCTTCGAGCTGGTCCAGCAGCTTTTGAGGCAGTGTGCCCAAGCATTGCGCAAATAAGCGCACTCGACCTCGGTCATCCTAATTCAATACAGAAGCTTTGTCGCATGGCATGAGCCACAGAAAAATAATGGTTAAAATCGCTCACGGTACGAGTAAATATAATGTTTGACCAATACGCAAACCTATATGCCTGCTGACGCATTAATCAGAATAAATATTGTGCCTTCCCCCTCACCTCCCACATCCCGACCTTGCGATCTTGCGCCCGCCGCAAAGTGGGATACCGTCCATGGAGTTTTCTCTTCTGCTGGTGCTTCGTCCCATCGATCATTTCCACCCGCATCGCCGGAATCTACCAAAGCCCTAGCTTCCCTCACCGACTCCCTGGGATCTGACTCTTGGTCGCAATCGATTTCTCCAGCGTCGCAAATAACAGCTCCCTAATGTGACATGTGTCGTGGCCACGGATGAATATTCGCTCGCAATGAGCCATTCGTCTCCTGTGAAGAACGGCGGCAGTAATGTTCCTCCTGCAAGGCAAATACGTTTTGTCTCAAGTGATGGACAGCCCCAGCCGAAGCGCCGTCGAGTCAATGCGGCGTAAGCTTGCCTTCATGACACATGTTCTTTACGGAGCTGACAGTAGCCTTCTTGGTGGCTTATATAGGTGTCGGACGTGTCGCAAGCGGAAAATAAGATGCTCTGGTGAACAGCCAGGTGAGAAGCTGACGCCGCACTTATACTTAGCAATGCTGTTACTGATAACCTGTCCCCTAGTGTGTAAAACGTGCTTGGATTACAAACATGTCTGTTTAGGATATAGCGAACCTTCTAGCCACGTTCGGACGCATTCAGGGAATGCATCACAAACCTCTAGCCTCACCCCTCTACCCTCTGCTAGTGAGAGAACAAATCCTCGACCGGTCAAGAGTCAAAGTCCAGATGGTGTTTCACAGTATACGCAACCCGTCGGCAGTGACCTTGATCGGCACGCCGATCATACAAGCTCTCAGGATGCCCCTGTATCGAGAGGAACACCTTCGAGCAATATTCATGAGTCGGAGCAGCATACAACCGGAGCAAGTCCGGAAAGCAGTACGTTATATCGGATAACAATTGGCATTACTGGCTGTGTTGACTTACGTTATTTTCAAAAGGTCGGACCACTCTAAGCTCAAGCCATCGCACCCATGTTCCTTATTTTCGATATTTTGGGCCGACAGCCATTGTTCCCGGCTTCAAACAGATGGTTAGTACTTTCATCTGACTTCTTGCTGCGGGAGCTTTCCATTTGCTTATTTTGCCTGCAGGTAGTACAGGTGCGCGGTTCTCGCAAAAGCAATACTTCGTTGTCTTCAGGTATGCATCCAACCCACTTCATACTTATGGCCTTTTATGGCTAGTGTTTTCGCTTGCTTCTGACAGTTCCAATGACACTACAGAGTCCCTTTCGCCTCTTCGAAGTCCAAAGTCTGCAGACGTGGGTATCAGTCTTATGAATTCCCTGGTCGATAACCGTGAGGTCCGAGACGCGAATACCATCCCGTTCTATGACCGAGACGATACTTTATCTGTCAGCAACCTCGTCATGCACCTTTGCGACCTGTTCTTCGTTCATCTGGGCTGCAGTTTCCCCTTCTTGCAGCGAGATCGGTTTCTTCGTGATCTAAAGGATAAGAAAGTCGATACCATGCTTGTTGACGCAGTCTGTGCCTTGGCCGCGAGGTTTTCGCCGCACCCGCTATTGGGTCCTCCTCAGGCGCCGTCTATCGATGGCTCAGAGTTGCAGACTGACGTGAAGAATTCAGACCGCGGTCACGCATTTGCCCACAGGGCAATGGGCGCCTTGGTTGACTCGCTTTCATGTCCCACACTTTCTGTTGTTCAAGCCTGTCTTTTGCTGGCCTACGAACAATTCGGATCGAATCATGACAGTGGTCTCTGGATGTATCTGGGTATTGCCATTCGAATGGCTCAGGATCTTGGAATGCAGAAGCTGCAAGGACTGAAACACAGCTATGGGCGGAGGGGCGTGACGCCAAGTGCAGTTCTGTCTGGACAGGCAGGGAAGCTACGGGAGGAAGAATATGATCAATGTGATGGTGCTCAAGGTCCTTTTAGCCCCAGCAACGAGATGAAGCATGATGAGGACCATCGT